TTTAATTTTTCTTTAAATTCGAAGCTATTTCAGTTGTGAATTTTATTCGTGATTCATCCATCAAGCATTGCAAAGGCATTCTGGAAACATGCAGGATGCGGCAATAATTCATTTCTGACATACTTTTCGTAGTTGTTCAGTTCAATTTTATTTTTGGGCGAATTGAATGGATAAACTTTTCCCTCCTCAAAGTGTACGGGAAATTAAATTTTGTGGCCAAACTTTCATCTAGCTGAAGAAGATTGAATTTGTTAACGATACCGCCGCTCGACCTTCTTAAGTGGTGAATGAAGAAAACAACCTTTTTTTTCGATCGAATGCAACTGATGTCTTTAAAAGTAAGAATATTGTATAGTTAAACAAATTTGGAAAGTCACTTTTTCCCCGGCAGCTTTTTCCGCAAATCGCCTCTCTTGACAAGCATTGTATCTTAGTTTTTAAAGCTCATTTTAGACCTCGAGCAGGAAGTGAATAAAATAAAAATTACGAATCTTTTGGTCCGATGCGCAAAAGAGTGAAAATGGTGAAATACATTTGTGTTTTTGCAGTGTTGTAGAAAATGATGAAGCACTTGCTGAAAGGGTGTTTATATTTCAAATTGCTGCAATATCCGGGATGCAAAGGAGTTCAATTTTATTATATTTTAAATCCCTTCTCATGGGTACGTGTGATGTCCGCAAATTTCAGTTACCTTTGAACGTAGAATTTCTGCATACCACTTCTTCATTAAAAGTTTGAACCCGTTTAGAACTTTTATCCATTTGCATTCAGTATATTATTGCTGGTCTGAAATATTGCTGCAAGCCCTTCGTCCATCGAAAATGGAAAACTGAACTATAGGTTTAAACTGCACCATATTATATATGGTACCCTTCTTAGTGAAGCTTGAAAGGCCACATGCCACATTTCAAACCTCGGAAATGGTTGATATTTAACTGTTGTACAATGTACACTTGGCTGCTGCCAGAAAGTTGAACCTAAATCGAGGTGAGATATGAGATGCTCTGTCTCTATTAACCGTCAGATGATGAGTCCCAATAACATGCAGACATAATTCCTTCTCAGACTGTGTCCATATGCAGCTATAGAAAATTCGGTACTTTCCTGTTATATCAGTACCTCCCAAAATCAGTTTCTGGGTAATCAGTTTCTGAGGCAGTCAGGTCAGGTTATGTTAATTGAAAGATATTTGTAAATAACATAACCTGACCTAACCTAACTGCCTCCCAAAATCAGTTTCTGCTTTCTTTGGGTTTCTGCTGAAACTGATTTTGGGAGGCGGTTAGGTAAAGTTAGGTTAGGTCAGGTTATGTTAATTGAAAGATATTTGTAACTAACATAACCTGACCTAACCTAACTTTACGTAACCGCCTCCCAAAATCAGTTTCAGCAGAATGCAGAAAATTGAAATTCACAGTTTCTGGTAGGTGCACGGAAAGTAGGTACTGAGATGACAGGAAAGTACCAAAAATTCACATGTCAGATCACACTTTCCCATAGATTTCCACGGTGGCATTTTAAACCACAAGCCTCATATGTTGGGAAAGAATGTAGGAAAATTTCCTCCAGAGAAGAACGGTCAACAACTTTGTCTTGACTTCAAAACACAGATGAAAAGAACTTTGCAGAAGAAAACCACACAAAACGTGCCCTTTTCTGGCATGAAAAGGAATCCAGTAAGTGGCAAAAAACAAGCATGCATATTGCTATCTTTGTAGATTAAAATCCCTAAAAAGATGCACACTTAAAAAATCAGTAGGTTTTTGAAAATAAATTAGAGTAAACATGATATGATCTATTTTCGTTTTATACACATGTTCATGACAGTAACTCAATTTGTTGAAGAGATTTGAAAATGTTGGGAAACAAAATCTTCCTGAAAATCAGAGCAAATTATCTATATGTTTATTTTGGGACATTTTCCTAATATTATGCTTGATTTTTTTCAGTTGAGAACGTCCATGAGTCACATTATCTGCACATTAAGGCATCAACCTGTATGTTTTATTGAAGCCCCTTATATATTATATTTATTCTCAGGAACGTGACTTATATGTGCGGTTAACCACCACCTTTTGGTACGTGAGTCAACCACCTGTCCACAGCTTTTTGGTAAGTTTTTGACCTTATTGTCAAAAACAGCTTCATTCAATAATGTATATACAGATTATAGGATCCATCAAAGAGTTATGTTTCCATTCACCCGTCTGTATACGCATACCATTTACACTTTACAGCACGGCACAGCATAGTAATGTGGAGACCCGCCGCTTTTAGATAGGAGTACAGTATAATGACTTTATTCTGACCTTTATTATTGTCCATGCTGAATGTTAGAACACTTGCATGTGGGATCCAGTTTTAGTATAAAGCGTAATTCAGCGGGAAATATTTCCAGGATTTGTCGCGTTTGGTAAAAATAGAAAAAGCCTTAATTTTGAATAAATGAATTAACAGAACACTTTATTTGCCGCTTTTTTAAATTTTAAAATTAAATTTAAAACACAAGAACAACTGCACAGAAGAAATCCATGACGCACACCAGGAATCTGCCATTTTGGCATGAAAATCAGTCCAAAAAGGAAACAAGACGAACTGACGAATTTCTCAGTCAAAGCACCTCTGGGTTACATGTAAGGCAAAAAATGTCCTGATACTGGAACAGAATTCATGTCACAAAAGGGGTACAGGAACTGTTTGCAGGTTGGGGTGTTCTGGGAACACTGCATGCCGCCGCGGATAAACAGTAAATTATATATTTTTTAATGACATCTAGCCTCCATCAGGCACTGCTGGCGCAGAATGGCTCAAAAGAGGTGAAGTTGAAAAATTGCTCGTTTTTAAACCTGTTCAGCATGGACGGTATTTTTCATCAGCACTTATTGTTTCCTGACACTTCTTTGCACTATGTGAGATGGCCAAAGGGTGTTCACTGTACAATACAGTGAGACACCCACATGCGGACCTCTTGACATGCAGACAATTTGACATAGGGACACTCATGTTCCAAAAAAATTAATAAAAAAGGCCCAACATGACTTGACATAGGGACATTTTTTGATAAAATTGCAAATAATTGTCAGGCCAAATTACAAGAAACAGATATTTCCAACCCTAAAATTGATGTATGCAAACAATTTTTTTCAGGGAATTCTGAACACCTTAATTGGTGTTTTTCTTCCACAAAACACCAATTAAATATTATATAATGTAAGTCTAAGGGAAAACAAGACTCAACTTAGAGATATTTCAACTTGGGGACACTCTTGATGCACCAATTACATCCACATCTCAAGGTCTCACTGTATATGCTGCATTTAAGGCAGTGTTACTGAACCCTTGGTCCACGGACCAGCGCTGGTCCACAGTTTTTGTCGGTCCGCAGGAAGTTTCTCCAGGCTAATGGATTTTTCAGGAGTAGAAATGAAGAATGTTACAGTATCTTTCTTTTTGATTTTGGCAAGACAAGGACAGTTAAAATCATCTTATGAAACATGTATCTTGTCTTTTCTCCTAATAATACTTCAGACAAATGTTTACCTAATTTCATAAATTATTTTAATTTCTGAGTCTGAAAAACCTTTCTTCAAGCCCACCTTTCCATTTTTTGAAGACATTCCACTATAGCTGCTTCATTGGTTCCTGAATTAATGTTGCAAAAAAGCAGCTTTTCAAATACTGTACCTCCTATTCAAGCTGTCCTTCATGCAATTCTTTCTTGAGCATGAAAAAATTCCATGAAAATTTGCTGGCCTTCAGAAACTTTGCTGGTCCACAATTTTTTTTTAATTTTCTGGCCCACCGGACTAAAAAGGTTGGGGAACACTGATATAAAGGGTTTGGCAGAATGTTGCAATGTCTCCCAGTGTGAATTTCATTTTTTCATCAGAGATTTCTTCATGGACCACGAAAGTTGATAGAGGAAAATGAATTCGTGGATTGGGAAAACAAATTGGATCTTTCATGGCAATGACTTTTCGGATTCATTAATAAATTGCCCTCTTGTTTTGAATTGAAAGTACACTCAATCTGCACAGACATGCAGGATGTCAAAAAATTTCAAACAGATGCTTGCAATTCACACAGAAATGTGTAGGTCTCCTTTGAATACATTTCTCCGGTCATTAAATTTCAAAATCCCATTAGAACAATTTAGCAAAGCAACTTTTTTCCGCAGTCCCTGTACTGTGTATAAGTTTGTACTGACGAGATATTTCAGTGCAGTGCGTAAGTAAGTTGCTTTGAAACAAACTCGATTACAGCAGTGACGCCCCCTACTCAAGCATTTTCAATTCACTCACGTCAGGAGTGCTCAACATTTTAAAAATGTCTAATTCACTTATAAGATCGCTTGGAAAATGTTTGCCATACCCTTCAATGAGAAAAAAACTGGATTCAATGCAGTACTCAAAATGAATGAATTCTTAAAAAGACTGCATATACTCAACCTGGGAAGTAATGTGCACAGTAATTAGACGGCACTGCTGAGACTACCGCATTTACTCAAATACCACTTGCACCTTCTCTCATGATATCAGGAAAAAAATGAGGGTGCACCTCACATGACGGGTAGGTATTACATCTTGAATATTTTTCAAACCATTCCTGCACTTCATACTTGATTCCAATATAATTTCAAACCGATGTGTGTACAGACAATTCAAAAATGAAGATGAAAAATGTATTTTCCATTCAAATAAAATTCAAGTCAAAATCTAAATTCTGATGCATCACAGCTTCCAAATGTTTACACTGTTTATCTCCAGAAGTGGGTTGCACTTCTAATTTAGGGATGCATGTTTTCCCAAATTTTAGGCAGAGGAATATGGGTGCATGCCTCGCTTGAGGGTGCGTGGTACTTGAGTAAGTACAATGAAGGAGTACCCCATGAGTAAAAGCCCTTCTCATCGCCAGCAGAATCCAGTCAAGGGTTGCCTGGGTTAGTAGGAAGCCCTTGTTATTCCAGCAGTCAACGGATGTCATTAGTAACAAGACACAAGTAGCCCAAACACGTTTTTTTACTTCCGCGATTGGAAAAGGGATGAAAGATGGAAGATTTCTATCTCTCAGCCGCGCTTTATTCAAATTAAATAGCCAGGCGCTCACAGTGCAGAGACCAATCAATCAGGCCGCGTCGTCAAGAAAAAAAAAATGCAGTGATTTGCGGATTTACAAAAGGGCGGTACAGGGAAATGGACGCCGACAACACCAAGTAAATCGTATCACATGTAAAATAAAACTTTTTCTCTTTTTCCATTTCGAAGCGCGAGATTTTAGAACGAGGGCGAACTTGATCAAGAAACGTGTTCATGGGGAGCCTTCAGTCCTTTTTGGGCACCGGACGACGGATTGGGGCCGGCGAGGGTTTCTTCTTCTCAGCCGTCGCTGGGGACGCCGTCGCAGACTTGGGCTTTGCCGTCGTGGCCGTTGCTGGTCTCGCGAGTGTCTTCGGTTTCGCCTCAGCCTGAAATTCAGGGATCAGGAGTACATTTTCAGTGCATTTCTCTTTCCTGTGTTAATAACATATTAGCCAGAAGGCATTTACAAAATTCGAGTCATGGAGGTTCGTCGTTCGTGGGGGAAAAGCCTTCAATTTCGGAAGATTTTAAATACATTTTGTGGACGAGGTCTCAAGATAGAAAACTTTAGGAAAATTGCTAAAACAATTGAAAATTTTCATTTTTCGAAATGCTGATATCACCGGAACAAATCGAGTCATTTTTACTCACAAGATTTACAAAAGTAATCTTCCACATAAAATTACGGTAATTCCATCATTAAAACCTGTCGAATTCTATGCTTTTTCAGTGTTTCCCTGCCCCCCATCATGTGTGCACAATATTGATAGACTTTTTCTTGAGCTCCTCAAGATTGCCAAAAAGTCAGATTCTATGTGGATTTCTTCTGCAAATTACACCCCACATCTTGGGGGCCCCACTGCGCAACGTCAAAAAACCTTTTGAAGAAAAAAAAATGTGACCATGTTTTCAAAATTCCTTCTTACACTCGGAGAAGGCCTTGCAGTAGAAGGACGAGCTGCAGTGGGCGTAGGTCTCGCAGAAGCTTTGGCTGCAGCTCCAGCACTAGCTGGACTCTTGGCTACAGCAGGTTTGGCACCAGCAGCAGCAGCAGACGCAACAGGCCTCGTCATCCCCGCAGCAGGTTTTGCTGCACCTGTCGCTACAGGCCTGGCAGGCTTGGGGGCAGCCAGCTTTGGGGGTCCAGTTGCCGCAGGCTTTTGAGCCGCTGTCACGGGTTTTTGAGCTGTACCGCTGACAGCAGTCTTTTGAGCTCCGCTAGTAGTTGGCTTGTGCACAGTGGATGTAGTCGGCTTTTGAGCTCCGGTTCCCAAAATCTTCTGAGCTGTTGCAGGTTTTGCTGCCGCGGGTGCTGCGGGTTTTGCTACTCCAGTTGCGGTCTTCGAGACACTTTTTGTCACACCAGCTGAAGGTTTCGCAGCACCAGGAGGTTTAGCACCAGCTGGTGCAGCAGCAGCAGCAGGTTTTGCAACTCCAACAGCCTTCTTGATGGGGGCTGGCTTTGCTGCTGCCGTTGGCGAGGCTTTGCTGGCCACAGGGGTAATTTTTCCGATCACCTTCAAAAGGAACAAAAAATGAAATCTATTCTCAAATACTGAAAAATTAGAAAAGAAGGTGGAGTACTCATGTCCCAAATTCAGTCAAGCTGCCACAACAACCCACAGAACTTGTTTTCCCATGAGGCCTGTGAACCTTGGCAAAATCTCATTCAGCTGGGCTTACTAACGCCAAAGAAGTGCACATCACTTCCTCAATTTTGCCTTCATCAGCCAATTGTGAGCCAGGAGGAAATCAGCCGATTTCTCCCTGACCCACAAGAATAACCTTCCGAAAAATACCCCATTCCTCCTTTGGAGGATAAGTGGCCTTATGCTCAAGTAAGCATTTACAACTAAAATTTAACCCAAGCAAACCAACCATTCAATCAAATTCTATTATATAAAATACAAAATAGCCAAATGACAATCTTAACCCCCAAGAAAAAACTTTTTCCGCTTTGAAGAACTGAGCCTTTCAAAAATAAATGGCCCTGTGCTCAGGTGAGCATTTAAAAGTGAAATAACGCCAATCTAACCAACCAACCAATCAATCAATCAAGGGGAATTCAATTCAATCTTTTTAAAACAACCGCCAACGACATCTCAAGCACCAGGAAGGAACTTTTCTGTTAAGAGTCCTTCAAGATGTGTGAACTTTACTCGAACATACATACAGTACGAATAGGTTTTCTTCTTAAATTTGGGATCCAATGGACCCAGGACAGAGACCTTTTTAAGAGGGGCCTTGGAGGCGACGCTCTTGACAGCTTTCCTCATAACTTCCGGCTCTGGCTCAGGAACCACGTCTGGGGCTGCCACAGGCTCCGGTTCCGGCTCCTGCACCACATCCGGTGCGGCTTCCATCGCAACATGCACCGGCTCTTCTTCCGGCGCAGGGCTCGTCATCTCCGTCTCTGGAGCCGGAGACACTTCTTCCAGATTCGTCTCTGCAGAATGAATGTTCACCTCCGGCGCAACATGCATGAGGTCTTCGAGTTCATCAGACCGCATCATCATTGCCTCAGGCATCGTCACACTCGAAGCACATGCTTCAGAGTAGACATGACGGATTCCGGGAGCAGCTCCTGAAAGCTGCGAATGAAAAATGAGACCGGAGATAAGATGCCGAAGACAGAAAAAAACAAATTATACTGAGGAATGCAGGTTTGTACTTCAAAAACATCACAGGACATCTTCGAACAAAAAAAAAATGCGTTCGTCTAACAGGTGTCTTAAAATCACTAGGTAGAAAATATTTGTTATTCATACAATGAAGTTGCAAAGTCTCTTATTCCTGATCAAAGCATTTTCGAAAGCTAGCAAGATTTGCTGATCAACGCTACGGATTTCCCTGGAAGACACTAACTTTTCATTCAAACGCAGAATCCTGTACACAAGGGTTGTCTCAGTTGGGCGCGACTTTCGATATTTTCGAAGTAGGTGTGATAATGAAAAAAAATCATGACATAACCCAGACGTTACAGGGTTCTGGAATTTTTTTTTGGGAATTTTCAGAAGAGTTAACCAGTTTAATTCATGATACAGGCAAGTGCTCCACCCATTCACAGGGTGCTGAAAAATTTTCAGGCCAGCAAAAAAAAATTGAAAATTTTTCTTGCTTAACCCATCATCTTTCCTACGTTTTAAAAGTTAATTAAACGAAAAAAAAATCCATTTTCAGCCAGTCTGACAAGTTTTCAGCACCCTGTGATATGGGCAAAGAGCTGTGGCTTTAAATGGAAAGTTTGGAATTATTATGCAGTAAATTGAAAAATTCTGAGAAAATCCCAGAACCTAAGATAACGGGCTGTCAATTGTTTCTTCACTATCTACTCTGAAAAGATCAGAGGTTGCATCCAACTGGGACAACCTTGGTACATCAGAATAACGAGAGGAACTGTTCAGCAAAAAACCCTGAACTGCCTTTGCATGTAAAAGACCGCTTTAAACGCCGGAATCGCAGTGAGTGGTCCTAAAATACGCTCTTCGATTCCCGAGCTCTTTGTTTTCTTTGTTTGAAGAAGTGTAAGGGACTGCCGAAAATTCCTCCCTCAAATTTTGTAAGAAGTTTACCGTTGGGAGCAGGTCAATGTCAGGCTGCTTGAAATGCTGTTCATCCACTTCAAACGCAAGTTTCTCAGGTTCCTGTAGTTGGAACGTTGGTGGCTGCACTTCTGCAGGTACAGGCTCTTCAATCTCAAACACTGGTCGCTGAAACTCCACAGGATTAGATTCTTGGTTGTCAACCTCTTGATGAAATTCAACATGGTCCGATTCTAAGATGTCAAACATGGGTTGTTGGAAACCCACGGGATCCTCCACCCGGGGTTCTTGAATCTCCTGCACTTTTTCCTGGTGATCAATAGACTCCCGATGGTCAAATGACGTTTTCTGAAATTCAATTTCCAACTCTTGGAATTCCGACACGACTTCCCGGTGCTCCGGATGCTCCAGATTATTCATAACTGGCTGGACCAGTTCCTCGTGATCCAAAACCTCCCCATTTTCGTCACCAAAAACTCGTTGATGCGACTCGAAAGGATTCTCAGCCTTGGCAGAAATCTTCAGGGTCTCTTCAAAACTATGAACAAGCGAATCCTCGAGCAATTCAGGCACAGGTTCCTGCTGGACTATATCCTCATCAATGAAGTCCCTATTATCAAAGCTATGATCAGCAGGTTCCACCGCAATATTGGATTCAATCACGGGCTCATGAACCGCATCTTCCACCAAGTCGTGTTCCACAGGTTTCTGAGTAAATTCCTGCCCAAAAACAGACTCGGAGACAAACTCTTGTTCGAACGGAGCAACAGAAATGTGTTCTTGCTCAACCACAGGCTCAGAGACAATTGGTTCTGTGTGGACAGGGTCAGAGACATCTTGTTCTACTACTACAGGCTCGAACGCTTCTTCAAGCACGGGCTCAGAAACGAACCCTTCATCAACCACGGGCTCTGGGAGACCCACGTGTTCCGTCACAGGCTCGAGCACAAAAGCGTCTTCAGCCACAGGCTCAGGCACAAAAGCGTCTTCAGCCAAAGGCTCGGACACAAACGCTGCTTCTTGAGCCAAAGGCTCGGGCATAAACGCTGCTTCTTGAGCCACAGGCTCGGGCACAAACGCTGCTTCTTGAGCCAAAGGCTCGGGCACAAACGCTGCTTCTTGAGCCAAAGGCTCGGGCACAAACGGTGCTTCTTGAGCCAGGGGTTCCGGGATGAACGACTCTTCAACCATAGGCTGAGGGACAACAAACTCTTCTTGAGGCACAGGCTCGGGCACAAACGGCTCTTCAACCACAGGTTGAGGGACAAACGCTTGTTCAGACATAGGCTCAGGGACGAACACGGGTTCGATCACGGGCTCGGAGACATATCCTTGTTCGCCCGGAGGCACGTGCACAAAATCGTCTTCAACTTCAGTTTCTGAGACAGATGCTTCATCGAGTGCGGGATCCACCAGGCGTTCAGGCGCCGAATCCATCTCCGCCTCTTTCACGACGTCGTCCTCGTCATCAACTGATGACAAAACGGGCTGTTCCGCAGCAACCAGAACACAAACCAGAAGAGGGTATTAATAGCAAAACTACCGTATTCACCCGAGTACTACACGCACCTTTCTTCCGCAAAATTAGGGCAAAAAATGGGGTGCGCGTGGTATGCAGGTATACAAGCAAAAAATAAAATCATGAAACCCGTCACGCTAATCGTAAGGGTCTCTTCGAAAGAGAAAATAATGAACACAAAATTATGTTTGATTATAAATCCTTCTAGATTGCTTTCAAGTTGCAGCAAAATCTCGTTACAACGAAGCTGTTGGGACCAGTGAAAAACCTTCGTTGTGACGAAAAATTCGGAGGAAAAGAACAGCTTCAACATTTTGGCTATTGGACAGGGACATCAAAAACGACTTCGTTCTAATCGAATATTCGTTATAATCAGATTCTTTGTAACGAGATTCTACTGGGTCATGATTGTTCAAAAGGTCATTTAGATACACATGATTATTTGAAGAAAAAAAGATTTTTAACCAGCGAAAAGCTTCAGGGAGCATTATTCGCGGGGTTGGGTTCTTCGTGTGTCAAATTCTATGACAAAAAATGCAGGTGCACGTGGTACTCGGACTGAATACGCAGTGTTTACAAAGTACCACACGCAACTTTTTCCTCAAAATTGAAAGGAAAAAAGGGGGCAAGCGTCACAGGAGGTTATTTATTCATTTTTAAATTTTTTTTAGAAGCTCAAGTGTGCATCATACTTGATTCAAATGGGAAATTTTGAACCAATTTCAAGAGAAAAAACTAATCTGTAATGAAAACGATTAGAAATTAGTTGAATTAAGAAATCATTCATGTCGAAATTCAAATTTGGGGGCTCATCTTTTTTTGATCGTGTAGTTACAGAGTCAGTCTAAACATGGAGCGCGCGTCTAACACGGATACAATTTATAAAAAAAAATTTCGACTGAAAATCCTGGAGCGCGTCCTAATCGAATGAACACAGAAAGTAAAAAAAAAGTTTCAAGGGATCTTACCTCAGAAGTTATAGCCTCCAATTCCTTAGGCACTTGTTCCTCGAACGGCGAAATCTGCCGAGAAAAAAATCAACGAAGAACCTCATCATCTGAAATTGAGAAATAAAGAACGAAAAAAAAAAAAAAAAGAAACTCACCTCTTCAGAAGTCTTCCGCACATCACAAGATTCCACCTGATCCTGAAAATACATTTTTTTTTTCATGAATACCAACCAGGTCTCGAAGTGCAAAAAAAACTTTACCTCAGCATGCTTAGTTTCGACTTGCTCCGAAGCTCGTTCGGCTGGATGTTGCTCAAGCTCCACGGTTTTCATGTGCTGAAGGAATTCCGGAGCCACACTCATGCCCTCACCTGAGAAGAAAATTTCTGAACGATCACGATTTCATCACGAGGAAAAATTCCTGTTGTATTTTGCAGGAACAAAAAATTATTCTTGGACAACGACACGGGATGAAAAGGGAAGGAAGTCGTGAAGCAGAGGAAAAGAAACGGGATTAGCAAACCTGGGATGAACTCGGTCGCCAGGGGATTCAGCATTACATGAGACGCTTCTTGCTGGCGGAAGGGATTCGTCTCTTCATGCACAGTCTCTTCTTCTTCGTCGTCGTCGTCCTCTTCTGCGCCTCCTGCTCCTCCTCCAGGCTTGTAGCTCCAATCATCATCAGACAAGGGTTCTCCAACCGGCTCAGCCAAATCATTTCCAGACAACAGGACGGAGTCAATTGCTGAAATGGCGGAGTCCACTGTGGAAAAAAAAATTTAGAAAAAATTGAGCAAATTTTCTTTTAAAGATTCAACCAGAAACGCCCTCAACACTCCGGAGATTTATATATTGTACTGTAGAGGGTTCTCGGCTCAAAAAAATTCCCACACAACATATTTTGCCTTTGGCCTCAGCTGTTCAGGTTAACAAACCATGACCCCACTAAAAAACTTTGGTGGGTTTGCATGCGAAACCCACAAAAATGTCCACCCGAATCCTGCGTGCCCGGAACTTGCATCCAATATTTCCCTGTAGATTTTTCTTTTTTTTGTTCTAGTGATTGATATGGAAATCACTCGGATGAGGTGATTTTTGACGGATTCTGCCTCTTATTGCAGGGTTCGTATTTTACATTTGTGAAGTTCGTCGAAAAATCTTTCGAATTGCTTTTGTTCAATTTCGGTTTCCTTCTTTAACGTATGTTTGGTAATAATTATTGCTCCTAAATGTACTACTGCGCAATTGTGTGTCATGATTTTTTCTTCCGTTTACAGACACAGTTCTTTTCATTGTGTGGTGCACTTGAAATAAAAGTTGACACACAAAATTATAGACCAAGCAAGAATTTTCTCGATTTTCATGGGCCCTTTCAAGATTTTGAAACCAACTGAAATTATTACTGTTCTTTCTTGAAGGAAATTTATTTGGCTAACAAGCTGTGCTCTGGAATGGAGCAAGTCCATTAGTAAATACTACTGTAACAGTACTTCAGCTACTTTAACAGAACTCCTGGAAATACAGTACATGGGTACCCAAAAGCAGATGGAAGCCGGTAAAAATTTCAGATACAACCTCAACCGCCAGTGATGCCCCGCAATGTAACGATTATGAATGACGTATTGGTGAAAAGACACAAATGATCTAATCCAGTGCTTTCCAACTCAGATATATTACGGCCAAGGGCCACACTGATACATTTTTTTGTGTTCAAGGGCCACATTGCCAAGCTGGAGAGTCCATCAGAGCCACAATGGAGAATAATTTTCTTGTTACGAAATTTTCTCCTTTTAAGTAAAAACTTCAACATTCACTTCATAGCTACGCATTGAATCACAAGCATAACCTTATGACATTTTTGAAAGGTGGAGCAACATTTCGAATTTTTAAATTCATCTTTCAATATATACAGGCAAATCCCAATTTAGTGCCACCATCCGTTCCAGGATATGTTCTAGCACTAAGCAAGGATGGCGCAAAATCAAGGGCATTGTAAAAATTCAAGGTTCTTCAAATTTGACCACATGGGAGAAAAAAATTGCCTATTGCATTACTGTGCACCTGATAATAATTGACAGGAGAGTACCACAAACGCTGGTTCAAATTTTGCTCCCCAAGTACTGTTTTGATGGAATTTTACAACATTTATTCATGGCCACTTCCCTGAATTGAATCGTCTGTATTTTGGAATGTCCTTATGACGGGGTCCCACTGTATATGGAATAGACCATGGAATGGATGAGGAGTCCCTGCGGGCCAGATCCTACCCACAAGCCACATATACCGTATTTACTCAAGTACCACGCATCCTCAAGTAAGGCACACACAGGGGTTTTTCAGTTGGAAATTTGGCTGAAATCTTATCCCCTAGTAAGACACACACCCCAATTTTTAGTGTATCTAAATCCACAAAATTTTGAAAAGAGAAAAAAATTGACTTAAGACATGAATTGAACAAAAATCTGATCAATTTTCAACTTTTTCAGTGCAAAAAAGTTTTCTTGTTACATTTTTTCCAAATTTCTACATTATAATTGAGTATAATGCACGCATAACTTCCTAAAACTTCTTGAAAAATTTGTACCTGCTCATGACGCGCACCACTTTTCTTCTTCTGAAATTTGCAAAAAAAAAGGTGAGCGTGGTACTCCAGTAAATACGGTAGTTCTAATTCACCCTCAAAAGGTGATACATAAATCCAAAACACAGAAGAACAACTCCGGAACCGATCATACATTCACGGAAGATATTCCTTCATAAACATGTTTCCAATTTGATCAGTCATGTACACTTTAAAGCTTTCTGACGCGTTTGGTTCTAGTCAGCGGGAAAACTGAGGGGGGTATTTCGTGCTGAAAAACCGGTCATTGGTCCAAGCAGGAGATTGCGACAGTGCCCCCACGGTCTCACAAACCACAACGCCTTCAGCCGGATTGAGCAGCGATTACCCAAGGGTCAAGAACCCAGGTTACGACAATTTTATCCAGGTTTCCAAAGACACATACTGGGTCCCTCACACACAAAATAATGACGTGATAAAATTATGAATAATGTAACTTACAGCACTTTTTTGGGCCTGCGGAACAGCAAATTGCGGACTGGCAAAGTTTCATAAAATGTTTGCAGACTCATTTGGAAACAGTAAGTCAAGAACCAATGAAACGGCTCATGTGGAATGTCTTAAAAAGATTAAAAAGGTGGGCTCAAAGAAAGGTTTCTCAGAATGGAAAATTAAAATAATTTGTTTCAGCAGGTGAAAATTTGTCTGAAGCCTTAGAAGAAAAGCCGAATTTTACTTTTCATCAGATAACTTCAATTGCCATTGTCTTTCCAAAATTTCAGATGAAAGATAACAGACTTCATTGCTACTTCTCATAAATGTATTAAGCTTGAGAAAAATTTCTGCGGACCAACCCCGGTCCGCGGACCACGGGTTGGGGAATACTGCTCCACAGTACAAAACGAAAATTCGCCAACACAGGAATAATAAGAGCTAGAGATAAACTGAACGACGCTCAAGGCGTTGTATCACCTCAACTGGAGGCCATTCTCATTTCCAAGTACTGGGGGAGAAGCCCTCGAGCTCACAGGGACACACGAGGCACGGCAGGTTGAAAAGGAATGAAAAAAAAGAGAAGGAAGGAAAATGCCTTCATTGAGGGAGTGATATAGTCTAGCCAGTCACCTTGGCGGAACGGTTGTCCGCCGAAGTATCCCGCACTGATGGTGTTGAGCGCCACGTGGCAGTGACCAACTCACTTTTCTTAGCTTCAACGCCTCTGCAGAATGCCGATACAGTAGAATCTCGTTACAATGAACTCCCAGGGACCCGATAAAAATGAGTTGTAACGAACATTTTTGTTGTATCGAAATTTATGTTTTTCAACACATTTCGGACTGAAATTTTGTCGGGAAGGAGAAATAAATACAACTTTCAAGTGCTTCTAGAACAGATAATTCGAGACCAGTCTTAATTTACAAGTCTGGTGAAATCAAGAGGAATTTGTTTTAATATATTGTACTGTATAACGAATTCCTTCTATTGAACGTTCCTTAATGCACTGAAGTGCTGTTCGCCTTTAAAAACAAAAAGACACTCAAAGTGCATTTGGGAGAAATACTTCATTCAAAATGAACTTATTCAAAAATAACCATTACAGTACTCCATTCAAATTAAGGAAAATTCTTACATACTGCTTTAAAAAAAGGCGTACATTCTCAAATGGTTCTAAAATAATTTCAAGAAATCAAACAGGTTGCATATTTTTTGAACATTAAATTTTATCTACAGAAAGTTTTGCTTCTTCGATGAAGTTAGAAATCTTAGAATGTTGCATATGTTCCATTTTTTTCTTCATTTTCTCCCGTTTAAAAAATAATCCCTAGATGACCTATGCACATATTCGGGACTAAAATTGTTTTTTATACTGTATAATGAGATCACAACCTAAAATTAGTTTGTTGAAGCGAGATTTTATAACATTGCGCCTACGGATAAACTGCTGGGACCAAGACAAAAATTGCCAAGAGATTTGTTATAATGGAATTTTACTGCATTCAAGCTCCAAATTGATTTTTCCTCGCAAATATAGCATTACCCGTGAAACCAGGACAACGAATCAATTATCTCTCAGCATCACTTTACAGTTCTCGGATTTGTTCATGAGCTCGTCACAACGGATCATCCTTCATTCTTCTCTTTCGACACGATATGGCTAATTTTCCCGATCTCAAACCCACCTTTTCCAGAAAAATATAGTACTGTACCGTACACAACAGAATAGTCAGCAGCTGACACGACCATAGTCCTCTTACCTTCAGGGAGAGGCAAGAAAAAAATTAGTCAAATGAGGAAAAATTTTTCGAGAGCCTCCACTGAGGTTGATGACTCAATTTTCCAAAGACATATCCTCATTAAAAACGAGCAGCAAAAACTTTTAGACACGAATATTGCAGAAGAAAATCTACCCAACATGGACTTGAAGAGTGAACTGAACCTAGTTGATGGTGACTTGAACAGTCACATCAAACAGGGAATAGTTAATTCTCAATTTAATAATTTAGTGCTAGCCTCACTGTGGTGTCACGAATTCCCTTGGAACAAATCTCTATCAATTGCGTTCTCAAGAGAAACCAGGACTCAGTGCGAACTTACTTGACCAAAAAAAAAAAAAAGGTAATTTTTCATGAAAATTAGGCAAAAAAAAAAATAATTGAGGCCTTTGCCCAGGAATATCCTTAGGTTAATAATCAGAAGCACAAGTCATAGCTCAGGATAATCTTGTACATGCAATTGAGAGGCATTACAGGATTTGGATATCTTCCACATTGAAGAGCATCTCCGAAACAGAAAGCGTCTATAAAAAATGGAAGAATCATTTTATTTTATCCTTGAATTGTGCGCTTTCACTGAAATGCTGATAGGAAACTCCCAAGGAACAGTTCTGCTCTTTCACTTGACACAACAGACACAAAAATAAAATACATTACTATATATTCTGCACTTGAAAAAAAAATGGAAGTACGGCATAAAAACAGAGCATTTGAGCCCCAAATTATTTCTTGTGGGTTTCTCTCTCATAAAACAGACCCAATGAATAGACCAACAATTTCGCAACGGAGCGTTTTTGTAGACAACAAAAGCCCTCAACTAAACCTTTCTCTTATACGCCAACCCCGCAATTCAGTCCCAACAACCCTGGCTTTGTGCTACAAAACGTGCCAATATAAATGATGGACCTAAATCGAGGTTTGACTGGAAATATCTCGAGTTGGACCAGGCTCTTGATCAATGCTATTCTGAAGCGTATTTCATCCCCTCACTCATTCTCAGGACTTCGGTGAACACACTCTTTAGCCAGACAAAACAACACAACACGGGTTCGACATTTCGGATCCCATCCGTCTAGACCTCAGGAAACTTTCGAGATTTCCGGTTCATTCTCCAAACAGAAAGAAAAAAATAATAAATAAAATAAAATGAAAAGTAATGGACAAGACCGACGCCCCATTCAAGACTCGAGCCCGACAAATCAAGCGGAACTCGGAAAGCGGAGGATTTGAAAAACACTTGGCTGACCAAGCAGGAAAAGGGGGCTTAATTGAGGGCTCGTACCTGCTCGATTTAACTCAAACAAAAGCTCCATTGTTTACTGTCGACGCAGTACTTGGAAACTTGGCTACACCTGGGCACTGAATGGAACACCTGACCTCTTGAGCCACTTGGCACCATTTGCGAGGAATCTCTGCCAACCAACTAAAAATAAACCCCTCAAATGTCGATCAGTTTCGTCGAGAATGCCCCACGCGCGCATGGCAAAAAATGACCTTGTCATATTCAGCATACTGCACATAGACATACTGTATGTATACAGTCGGGCTTGAGTTGGATTCGAAGGGACCAACAAAACAATTCGAATCAGGGAGATTTCGGAAACTAGGTCTGAAAATCCCTGCTGTAAATTTCAAAAGAAGTACTGTAGTGTGGACGAAAGCATTTCCTGACTTTTCTTTTCACTGCACAAAACAGAGTGAACACAGGAAACAGCAGAATAAACGAGTCTAGACTCCGGAGGTTACAGAACCTCACGTCGGGATTTTATGGACCAATTAAAGTTGCTCATTTTCTTTTGCAAATTACATTTGACTTTCTTGTTCTCCCTCATCTTCACAAATATCGAATATGCAGGTTAATAGTTGAATCATTTCAAGTGAAGGAGGTTCAAGTTACTTTGTATTAGAGTAATTAGTCTTAGGACAGGGATTGAACAAAATTAATTGGGGAGGTTTTACTCTTAAAGAAGTCTGACTGTCATAGGACAGACCACATCTATCTCAATGTTCCCCAACCTTCTTGAGTCATGAACTGAAAAAAAAATCGCGAATTGGCAAATTTCCAAAAAATTTCTGTGGGCCAGCAAAGTTTAATAAAATTGTTGCCGACTCAAAATAAGTTTGGCTTGCAAGACTTGATGGCAGATATTAACAGTAAAAGTTTGTTTTTTCAGAAAAATCAAGTTAAGAACCAATAAAACAGCTACAGTATTGTGGAATGTCTTCAAAAATGTAAAATAATATACTTTCGCAGGTGAAATTTGCCCACAGCGTTATTAGGAGTAAAGCCACTTGCATTTTCATCAGACAATTCCACTGTCTTCTTCGCTTGTCCTCCGAAATTTCAGATGAAGAGTACAGACTTCACCGCTACTTGTGATACATTTATTATGTTGAAAAAAATGAAAACCTTCTTCACACTGGCGCTGGTCCACTGACCACAGGTCGGGGAACACCAACATACTTCATCAAAAATACAGTGAGACCCCCCACATGCGGACACCTTGACCTGCGGACAATTTGACTCAGGGACACTTATTTTATCATAAAAATTTTTAAAAAAAAAGGCCAACACGAGGACACTGACTCAACATAGGGACATTTTGTTATAATTTGCGAATACATTTCAGACCAAATTACAAGAAACATATTTCCAACCCTAAAATGGAAGTAAGAAAAGTTCTTGGGCATTTCTCTCACCAATTTATCATCCATTTAGCTAATTAAAAAAATTACCTCCAGCAGAGAAGGACTTCCTTCTCTCTTTTTCACTTGAAGATTATTTTTACAGAGAATGCCAACATTTCTATATACTGTACAGAGTTAGCAGTATTCAATTCCCCAAATGCCCATATCGTGTTGAAATATATTGATTGGAATCAGTTTAAATTGGGAGACCATTTTTATTTCATGGAATTATTGTGAGTATTATGTACATAAAACACCAATTAAAAATTATAGAATGTAAGTCTAAGGGAAAGCAAAACTCGACTTAGGGACACTCTTGATGCACCAATTACGTCCGCATCTCGGGGTCTCACTCTAGCTTCCTGCGTATAAAAACACCAACAAAATTCCACGACGTACCATCCTCGGGCGTCGGAGAGACTCGGAGAAGGTCCCCAGTGCCGACCCCGAACATCTCCAACTGCTTTCGTTCTTCTTCGTCCTCTTCGGCGACCTCAGGCAAGTCTCCTGGGAGATTGACCGTGTTCGGGAACCCGGGCTGCACCGAGCTGTGTTCCGGGTAAAATCCAGCACTGTCTGGACTCAGGACATTGCTAGTCAAGGACAAGCCAACTTCCATGTCCGATTTTTCTTCCGGTCCTCCGTGATCGTTGTTGCCTCTCCTCCACGGCTTGAAGAAGCGCATCGGAGCCTGTCCATCGGATTCGTCCGACTCGGAAAACCCGTTCTTTTTCTCGTCAACATCCTGCGAAAAAAAAAGAGAAGAATTTCGAAATATTTGAATAAATACACTGTACAGTAATCTCGTTACACGAAAGCGCGAGGGAGCTGATGTAAAATTGATCATCACGCAAAATTTGTTGTGTTTTGAAACACATTTCAGACTGATATGAGTGAAAATGGGCAAGAAATAATGTACTGTACTACGTACTTATAGAACAGGTAATTCAAGACCTGTCATAAATTCAACATCTCTCTGATGAAATGAAGAGGAAAATATTCTCGAATACATGGTATTTTGCTCTAATTGAACCAGCCTTTCTATACTGAAGTGCTGTGTGTCTTGAAAATAAATTGAAACAAAAGCACACGTGGGAGTAAAATGCTTCCTTCCAAATCAACTTCGTCATTCATACTTGGTTGTTCTTCCAGAAGGTCGAGAAGGAGGAAGATTTTTTTTAGAATACTGTATATACTTGAAAAGAAGGCAAACATTCGCAAATGGAGCTAAAGAATTTCCTAAAAATACAGTATGTCCTGTTGTGCATTTTATTGAAAACTAATTTCCTCCACGGAAATATTTGCTCATGTGATGAAGTTGGAATATTGCACCAGTTCAATTTGCGTTTCATATTTCTACCTTTCATTAAATAATCTCCACGGCCTATGCACAGAATCACGCCAAAAAGGCATCATCTTGAGTTTGCAGCTTAAAATGAGTTTGTGGAAGTGAGATTTTAATAACGCTACTGCAGGGACCAACAGTTTATTATACCGTATTTACTGGAGTACCACACACCCTTGAGTAAGGCACGCACAGGGGTTTTTCTGTTGGAAATTTGACTAAAATCTTATACCCGAGTAGGACACACACCCCAATTTTTAGTGAATCTAAAACCACAAAATTTCAAAACTAAAAATAAAAAAATGACTTTTGGCATGAATTGAACAATAATCTGATCAATTTTCAACTGTTTCAGTACAAAAAAGTTTTCTTGTTAAGTTTGCTCCAAATTTCTCCATTATAATCAAGTATAATGTACACATAACTTCCTAAAACTGCTTGGAAAATTTGTACCCGATTATGACGCACACCCCTTTTTTTTTTCTTCTGAAATTTGAGAAAAAAGGTGCGCGTGGTACTCAAGTAAATACGGTATTCAAATATTCGTTGTAACGGAATGTGACCATAATTGAAACGAAGGCTCGATTCCAAACACAAACCCCTTCATTGATGTTAATACTAAAGATTTCGTGAGTCATCACACCCCTCAGTCACACGAGACAGCTTAAAAGACTCGGTATCATGCGGGTACCCAGAAGAACTCGTCGAGGAAAACAAAAAAGGAAAAGTTCCCCAACCCATTCCCATCAAGAAAAATATGGGCTGCTCTTCATCCTCATGAGTAGTACTGGGATCCGCAATGGGACTTACTCGAGATTGATCGTAACTGGTTTTCAAAAATAATGACTTCGTTTTTAATGGCTTCATCGTATGCCTTATTTATATGCCTATTCCAACAGGTTTACACCGTTCTAAAAAAGAGCGGATGCACAAGAAAGACGGGATTAAAAATAGTTATGGTTTAAACATAACGTCGACTTTCTGTGACTTGCAGTTCTTGGCTCTTCTGGGGTGAATCACGTCATGGCTGAAGAACGTCAAGAAAATTTGGAAAATCCAAGTTTCGGTTGGAAATATTCGGCACTGGAATATCTGCAGAACATTTTCCACATGTTTTGACAGTCCGATTGAAAATATTTTAGAGCAGATTCAACTCTGCAGAGACTCAAGTCATTAATTGCAATTACAGTGGGTCCCCGCATAACGAAACTAATCCGTTCCTGGGTGAGTTTCATTATGCAGAACTTTCGTCAAGCGAAATGACTTCTCCCGTAAGATTACATCGTACAGTAGTTCATTCAAATAGTTCCAGCCCTTCAGAAAAAACCCATAATAAACCGTTAAATGTGTATTTTCCTCTGAGAATTGTAGATTTAATATTGATCAGCGTGAAATTGAAGTATTCCAGACAACTATTGTAGACGACTTTCGGAATTTCTGTAATACAGTACTGCACTAATTTTTAAACACAGGACGACGCGAACTACTTTACGGTAAACCCTTCTCTCATTACCCTCAATTTTTGGAAAAATTCCAAAATCAAATTTTGATCAAATGGAAGCATTTTTAGAAAAATTTTTCATTAGTGAGTTGCTTCCCCCATGAAATTGAGTGAAAATTCAACGATTTTATCGGTACCTGTATAACGATTTTTTTTGGTCCCACAGCGTTCTCTCCGCTTCAGAGAGGTTTTCTAGATATTAACAACAAGCAGACATTTTTTTCTGGTCCTTAACATTTCGTCGTAGAGAGCGCCCAGAGTTCCCTAGGCACGTAATACCCGAATCTCACGGGATGCATCCGATCCCGAATTTCCCCTGTACTGTACTGTACTGTAATGTAATGTACTGTACACCCTGCGCAGCAGGGATTCTTCCTTTCTTTCCGGGCAACAGCCCCGGGAAAGGGAAAACAATAGCCGACACACTCTTCAATGGGCACACGTGGACATCGGGCAACGGCACGTCACTCGTTGAGTTCGAAAACACCGGGGGAAAAGTTCTCCCAGCGTAATGGACGTTATCACGATCAAGAGTGGATTTCTACGCGTGCAGCACAAGATCAAAATACAGCGGGGCCCCGACATACGGACGCTTCAACTCAGGGTCGCTCGTAACTCAAAAAATCTGCTGTCAAATCTCGAAGTGTTTCAAAAAAATGGACACTTTACCAACATTTCTGGAGAAGTGAAGAATGATTTTCATTTTTTACCCAGAAATATTTCTGCTTTTTACATAAAAAAAATCTTTTTTTTTTTACAATTTTGCTATGATTCATAAGCCAAAATAGCGTCTTCTTTCCCACTCAGAGCTGCGTCCATCATCTGTGCACACTGTAGGAAGATCTGGGCTTGTTTTCAAGCCAAAAGATCAGATTTCTGCGAGGTTCTCTTGTGCAAAATTATTTTGTAATATCTTTAAATGGAGGAAAACATTGTACATGTATTCCATTTTCTGGGGGACTTTATGATTTTTGATCAACAGGAGAATCAATTAAATACAGTACTGTACAGTATATTCCCAATGAACTCCAAGCGAAAACGTGATCCAACACGCGGACATCCAGACATAGGGACAGTCTCCAAGCTCCAATAATGTCCGCATCTCGGGGCCTCACTCTATTTCTATCTACCGTAGAATCGAGAAGTAATTCCTGGATATTTTACGTAGAAAAATTATCAATTGCGCGCCTTTTGGGACAAATTTGTATCAGCCATTCATACACACGGACTGATGAAATGAACTGCGCAGACACATCATCTCATGTACATATTACGGTTATAATCATAGCAAATTTTAGCAGCACCCACGACTTACGATAACTTGGGGGGTGTTAAACCATCTCGGGATTGAGACGAGCACGACTGTGACCAAGATTCCAGTGCATCTCCCAGGAGAATAAAGGACAGTAATTTACGGAAAACCTACACACTACTTAGCTCGCTTCGGCAGTTGGACAAACCATAGAACATGAAGTAAAATGGTTATGAAGTAAATCAAGTCCATGGTTTCGTTACAAGTACTGTATAAAATAGGTCACTCATATCGAAAATAAAATCACAGTTCGGAGAATTGTTGTTTGGAACCCTCGCAGTACTGTCTTACTATCTGCCAGCTCATCCCAGAATTCGTTGCCAAAATTTTACTCGAGTCATCATCACCTGTTTCCCCGAAGTCTCATATTTGTCTCACTGCTTGGGCAATCCAGAGCTCAAAAGCAGGGCCGGTCTTTCGAATAATGCGACGACTTACTGTTCATTGCTATGTCCTTCGTAATACAGGTCTGTACTCGGTCCTTCAACTCAAAATATAATCGACTCACAGCTAAAGGAGACCTGAAGATGATACTTTCCTTGTTTCAGAAAGCAGTTTTGCTCAAATGCACGAGGGGACCCAGTGTGTTTTTTCAAGCATGAATCCAAATTTAATGACGAGGAAGTAACAGTGTGGCAAAACTGGAGGAAATCGCAATTTAAAAATGAGTTCGGCAACCGATCACTGCTTCTCGCGAAGTGCTGCGTGAGCCAATGGATTTGCGTCGCATCATTGCTCCATCGCACAGCACTTCCTCGAAGGCAGCTTTTCGTCACGGGAAATTCGAACTACAGAAAAATATTTTTTACAATAAACTCCAGGAACTTGGCGAAAAAAATCGAAATATGTTTTAGACACATCGTAGCGTAAAATGTTCTGAGATATGGGTGATTGATACTTTACTTTAAAGTGCTCCAACAACAGATATTTCAAGCCACGTCATGATATTTCACGACTCTCCAATGAAATCAAGAGGGACATTTCATTAAATGTACAAAAGTTCCTTTCATTGAACCAGCCTTTCTACACTGAAGTGTTGTTTTCAATAAATCAAAAGTACACGTGGGAGAAATAACTTATTGGAAATCAACTTATTTCTTCATTGAAATAGAGGAAAATTCTTTAAAATATACTGCACTACGCATTTGAAAGAAAGGCATACATTCTCGAGCAAAATAATTTCCAAGAAATACGTCATGTGCATTTTTCAAACAATAAATCCTCTCTCCGGAATGTCTTGCTTCTATGATGAAGTTGGAATGCTGCACCAGTTCATTTCTTGCTATTTGTCAAATCATTACTGTGACCAAGGCACAGAATCAGAGGGCCTAACATTTTCTGAACAGTACTGAGATTTCAATTCAATGACTTGATTAAAACCATATTCTTGCAACATGGCGCCTGCGGAAAAACTGCCGGAACCAAGTAAGAAATGCGTTTTACTGAGATTCGATGTGACGGAATTTTACTTCAGAACAAACACATTTCAAGCTTCATCGGGTTGCAAGTATAGTCAAACCTCTTCAAGTCAAATTTCAACAGACCAGCAAGGAAAAAAACGAGTCGGGGAGGTTTCAAGTCAGAGAAACAACCATTTTTGTTGTGGAAAAGATGGAATTGCAGGAAATTGTACATGGTGGTATTCTGGGTCTCATACTGCTTATTAATGAGTTGACTGGTTGCTTAACATGGAGATGGGGATCCATTAGTATTTCGTTGCACTTCAAAACACATCAAGTTACTTTCTTCATTGTTTTTCTCTTTCCTGTTTCAAGTAAACAATAGCCTGAAGGCTTCAGAAAAACCGAGTTACGGAGGCTTGAGAGAAAAAGCCTCTAAGCTATAAGTTTTCCATGTTTTTTTTTTCCCCCAAGAGAATTCAGACGGGAACTTTGAAAAAAATTCGATTCGGGGAGATTGAAATCAACAGTAATAGAGAAAAGTGCATAGATTTTGAAGCACAAGCTGCAAAAATGTTTTCCTCTAGACTCGTCACCACCGGGAAAAAAGATTTTAAGCATTCCAGCAAGCATAAAAAGAGAATGAGTCGATAAACAAGGCTTATCCGATGAGATAAGCCTTGCTCGGAAAATTTTAGCTTTTTTTCAAGGGAACTAAAAGGAATTTTCTGATTTAGGTGGAATTCGTCGCAGTTGTCGCTGCCACCAAAAGAAAAAGCAGAAAAACGTTCCTTAACAAAAGCCATCTCGGCTCCACGTCTCGAGAGAACTGGGTAATTCGCCAGGGTCAGTAATTTCGGAAATCGCCACACACACTCCCTCGGGTCCACGGGGGAATAAGCAAGAAGAGAAATGACAGCGACGCAGTTCAACAGCCTGCTTTCCTGTCTGCAAGCATGCAATGCAGGCTTGCCGACAGCAGCAGCAGTACTGCCTGAGAAAGTACTGTACTGAAATATAGGAGATTTCGACTCACGGCTTTCAGTTTGTTCGAGCATTCCCAGGTGTCGCTGGCTTTCAAGTCCATGACGATCTTGGCGATGATGTCTGCCGGGGGCTGGAGAAAAACCACTACAGCAGTGATATTGTCTGTAGAGCCGTATTCCTTGGCAGCCTTCACCAGTTCACGCGCGACCAGGTCCGGCCTGTCGGCATCTGCGCACACACCAACAAGAGTTCATTACCTTCAGCCCAGTCGACCGGAAACTGAACACCGGGAGCTTCTGATTTCTTCCTTCCCCCCCCCCCCCTGGCCCGGCTCCAGGACGGAAATAAAACCTCTCTCTCCCTCTTCTCCCAGACCGTAAACAAGTCGAAAATCCAGCACGTTTTCCTCATTTCCCTAATCCACACAGTCTCTACTCCTGCCTCGAACAACCGGTTACTCCATCAACCCCCCTGCGCCAACACTTCGAGCAACACCAACACCTCTCTTCACGGTACCGATTTTCAGGTATCTGGTTCCAGCGAGTGAACCGGTTTCTGTTATGGGTTATCCACTGGCAATACAGCTCCCCCTTCCCGCAAATTTCATCTTCGGGTCTAGTGGGACATCAGGGGGGGGGGGGGGGTTAAAATGAAAGTTCGCTCTACTTTATTCAAGGGTACAGTGTAGTGTTTCATATATGGAAAAAAATGTAGGGTTGGGTGGATCAGTAATTTATGCTTAGGTTGACCAGGTTAGTGTAGGTGAGGTGAGTTTACACAAGTTCATTTTAGGTGAGGGTACCGTTGTTGAGGTAGTTGAAGTTAGGTTCATTTAATTGGGGTTTGATTGGTTGACGTTTAGTTAGTCAAGTTTCAGTTAGTCGAAGTGATTGTAGGATAGTTCAGTTGAGGAGATTGCGATACCTTACAGTCGCTTTTGGGCGAATGAAAATTGGTCGAGAGAAATATGTACCAGTAATGTGTAATGCAAAGGGATGACAAATTGAAGAGAAGAGAAATTTCTGGGAAGCGGATGATCGCTTCTTATGATGAAAAGACAATTTTTAGACGCTTTTCCACTGGCCAAGAATGCGGAAAATCTCAAGTAAGACTATCAGATCAGAATCAGTAAATAGGAAAACGAAAATCAAGTTGCTGAAGCGTAGTAGCAATTACGCCGTTCCACTGGCTTAGACAGCATTTCCTTGCAATCCGAATTTGAGATTCGTTCCGATTCAGCTACAGATCGAAGAAAAACATTACTTATGATAAAAAACTTCGTCGCACGGTTGTTCAATACAAAAATCGGTGATCTATAAAAGCCCCATAACAAAATCGTCGGAGAGAAAATTACGCTGTAGACTGTAGAGGATACTGTGAAATATTTTTAGACGCCGGGTGTTTTTCGTTCGCTCCTACGCAGCGTTCGAACAGTGCGAAAAAACACCAGGGTTCACGAGTGGCAATTATAATTACACAAAAACGTTTCAGTTAATTCAAATGATTTTCCTTCAGTTCTTCCGGCACGTCTGCGTCCAAAATTTCTCCATAGAACGCCCATTTTCTTGAACAAATCCGTCATTCCTTTCGCAATATTCTCAACTTAATTTCCAAAATACACTGGGTTGTCCAATGGAAAGCTAATTGAATTTCTCGACCAGAAGCCGGTGCCAGGTCGGGATTTCCGCGTCGTTCAAAATTCTAAACGTTTCAATTTACTTTCACATCATCTTGATACACTAGTTCTTTTAAAAGTTTTGAATTCCACACTGATTCACACACCTAGTACGGTTTTTGTCTAATTCAAGAGCTATTGCGTCTTTCATCGCATCATAAAAGCGCCCTTGAGGATCAGGATAAATTTATTCATCACTCTCATCGAGCACGCAGAAAGTCCAATTTCTGAACGATATGATCCATATTCGTACGCACGAACCGATAGTAATCAACACTAATAAAGTACAGTACTGTAATTTATTTTGAACGCGTGACTCATCGCATCACAAGTGCGCATTTTCGCGGTTGAAGTCTACATTACGGTACTTCTGGCTAGCTGGCTCATTCTCAAGTGACGTAAATCATGCTTTGCATGTGCGGGGGCTTATTTCAATCTAAAATTTGAAAAGAGTGGAATAATAGGCTTCTTTGAAGGTTCATTCACACGACAGAGATTTAGGAGTCAGATACCAAGGACTACGAGCGTCGAGCTATTGAAAAAAAGAAAATGAACGAGCGTCGCAAATTACTAATTCACATTTCAAAATGCCGGTCACTAACTAAGATAACCCGAGTAGAACTCCCGAGTAAAATCAAGTACAATAAATCAGTAATGCACTTCATGTCATTCAACTGATTAAGAAGATGTCTTCGGTCAAACTTCGTCGACTTTCTGGTAAACATTGAAAATCCTTCGCCCGGAAAATGTAATCAAGCGAAGGGAATTCAAGTGGCTGAAGTTGGATTTGTTGAGATCTAACTGTATCAGCTCTATAGTTCGGTTCACGAATCCGAAGTCTGGTGACAGGAAGCCCGGTTCATCTAAGTTTTAAAACGGTCGTGCATTCATTACTTCGGTAATTTATCCGAAAGTTGTGCTCACTTAGAGTTCAGCAATTCACGCGTCATTCAGTAATTCCATATACGCCGGAAGGGATAAAACGCGGTGGGAAGTCTTCTTGCGGATACCGGTAAAATGTTTTCTAGATAATGCTCGCAACAACAAGATCCTTCCCTGGCTCTTCTGCAAAATGTAGCTCCGCAACAAGACAATTCACTCCTTGCCCGGTTCAATCGTAATATGAAATACGCGACATCCCATCTCAAAAATAAACCCCCCTCCTACATGAAGCACCACGTATTTGTCCCCTGCACGGCACCGCACGAAACGTCCACTCGTTTCTACGTCACAGGCCCAACTGAGCTCTGCAGAGGAAAAACCGGGGGCGGTCTCGCGTCCTGCTCCCTCTCACCGAGCCATCGCAGTACTCGCAGACAGGACGCACGCGTCTCTCGCCGGGAACCATCGCACGCTCGCAGACAGGGCAGTCTGCTCCTTCCCACAGCTGTGCGTGGCGCTGTCGCGGTTCACCTCCCCAACCGGTCGCGGTACGTTACTGCTACGTACCGCACCCGCTGGGAATTCCCTGCTTGAGTAACTCGCATCTCCTTTCCCCCACCACCTTTATGGTTCCAGGAGAAAAACTAACTTTTTATACCATTAAAAACGCCGGGAAACAAGCCATAAACCACTTGGTTCTCCTCTCACACTTTTCCCAGCGCAAAACTTCTCACAAATTGGTCTCTCTAGGCAAACCCTGAGAATCTGCCATTATCTCGCAACGCTGGCAACACCAGTCATTGGGGAGAAGGCAACTCGGATTGAACAGGACTCAAGACTGCAAAACATGCGGAAGATTCCCGCCTTCTTCACTCCATCTACAGCTACACCATAGAAGGAAGAAATACTGCACTGTACCGCATAAATACGCAACAAACTCAAGTTCCCATCTTGGCTCAACCTGAGAAATTCTTTGGTCACCCCAAAACTTGCACAACGTCGGAGATGTTCCAGACCAGTCCAAGTGAACAGAAAGATCACAAATCTCTGATTCTGAATCAAGATTGAGTCATTCCCGCATCAGTATTCTCGGATGGGTACCATGCAATACCATTTCTGAGTAACGGGACCACATTCTACAATCCACCACTGTACTGTACAGTACTGCACTACAACAAAATCTTGTTACCACAAACTCCCAGGGACTTCATAGAAAAACTTCATAATTTTTTTCACACAAACTTTGCAGCTTCAACACATTTTAGACTGACATTTTTGTGGGAAATGGGTGAAACCTGTACTGTGCTTCTAAAACACATTTCAAGACCCATCATAATTTATAACTCTGTTTGATGAAATAAAGAGGACAATTTTGGAGTGCGTAGTACTTCTCTCATATTTGAACCTACTTTCCACCAATGTGTCCTTAATCTTGAAAAAGAAAATGAAACAAAAGTACATGTAGGAGAAATGCAATGCCTTCCGAATCAACTTATTCATTGATACTCATTTGCACTTCCTAACGGAACAGACTTCGTACATGCTATTTGTTTGCAAGAAAGGCATACATTCTCAAACGATGAAGAATTTCCATGAAATACAGTGAGACCCCAAGATGCGGACGTAATTGGTGCATCAAGAGTGTCCCTAAATCAAAATGTCCTCAAGTCAAGTCTCATTTTCCCTTAGACTTACATTAAATAATTTTCAATTGGTGTTTCATGTACAAAAAACTCACCCTAATTCCATGTAAATAAAAATTGTCTCCCAATTTAAACTGATTCATTCAAGTGAAAAAGAGAAAAGGAAGTCCCTCTATGCTGGAAGTAATTATTTTAAATTAGCTAAATAGATGGTAAATTGGGGAGAGAAATGCCCAAGAACTTTTCTTACATCAATTTTAGGGTTGGAAACATCTGTTTCTTGTAATTTTTCCTGAAATTTATTCACAATTTTATCACAAAATGTCCCTATGCCGAGTCAATGTCCTCATGTCGGGACTTTTTGTGATTTTTTTTATGGTAAAATAAGTGTCCCTAGGTCGAATCGTCTGCAGGTTGAGGCGTCCGCATGTGGGGGTCTCACTGTATGTCATGTTGGGTATTTGTTAGGACACACAATTTTCTCTACGGACAGTTTTGCTTCTCTGATGAAAATGGAATGATGCAACAGTTCAATTTTTATTTTTCTACATTTCATCAAATAATCCCTACATGGCTTACTCACAGAATCAGGGCCAACAAGTTCATAACATAGCGCCTATGGACCAACTGCTCGGGCCAAGAAAAAATGTTCTACGAGATTCGTTGAAGTGAATTTTACTGTGTACAGTGCTTGTAAGAGACTCACACGTTCAAGAGCATGGTGCTGTATTTCGTTGAGAAAGAAAAATCGCAGTGTTCCAAGAATAACAAGCTGAGGATCACAATTCAAGCACTCCTGGGCTAAAAAAAAAAACTTGAAATTCGAGTTCCGTTTTCCCTTTCAGTAAAATGAAAATCAAATCCCATCGCGTTGGATGGATCAAGTGACGAGTTCCACAGAGGCACCCTGTACGACCGGGAACGGATAAGAAGCTCGGGGGAGTGAAAACCACCAGACCCCAGTACAGTACCACCAGCTCATCAAGGCATCTGTTCAACTCCCCCTCCAGCATAAATCAATCCCACACACATACAAGGCCACTGGGAACCCATGTCAATTAGCTTCAAGCCGGTACCAAAAATTAAAAATAAAAAAAGCCTGTGGGGGGCTTCACCGCAAGTCTTGACGATGATGGGATTAACCAGAAACCCTCGGTTCCCAGACACACCCAACCTCTCAATCAGCGCCAGTGTCCCACATTAGCACCCGC